CATTCTGCTGTGGAGAGGCCGGAAGCGTGAACGACTGCTCAATGCCGTGCTCAGCACAGTAGGCTGCCAAGAGGTCGGAGGCGAACTCACCACCCCTGTCAGAGTGCAAGCGCAGGACAGGAAAGTCCGAGTGAAAGCGCTTGGCTAGCTGGAGACGGGCTCGGCTGATCCAGGGGATCAAAACACCAGGGACGTCACCCTTGGCGCGCAAGGGGAAGACCGTGGTGTAGCGCGAGTAGTCGTCAACAACTATCAGGAAGTACCTCTCCTGACCCTGACCACGGACGCGGGCTGGGCCCCACACGTCCATGTGGAGCGTCTGCAAGGGAGCAGTCGTCGGGGGAAAGGAGGAGGAGTGAGGAGCGGCGCGCTGCCGCCCCTCGACACAGGGAATGCAGTCAGGAGCAGGGGAGTCGGGAAGGGGAGGGAGCACCCTGGGAAGACCAGCAACAAGGTCCCGTTTGTGCATGGCCCGAAGGCGCTGCACAGACGGGTGACCAAGGCGGTGGTGCCAGAGGACAGTCTCATGCGCCAGAGAGCGACACGAGCAGGGGGCGGACAGCTGACCTGACGCAGACGCAGACGCAGACGCAGCCACCTGAGGGGACTCAGTGGTCAGTGTGTACAGGTCCGACCCCGGCTCTCGAGTGAAAGTAGCCAGGTGGCGGCCCGTCCGAGCACACGTGCAATGTGTCACACGCTCGTAGGCAGGGGTGAACTGGTGAACACCCCCGTCCTGCAGAGCACAGCCCGCCACCAAGTTCGTAGAGAACGAGGGGAGGTAGAGACCTGAGAGCGTGCCGGACGGAACCGCTGGACACGGAAGTGTAGTGGAGGAGGTCGCAATGACCGGACCCCCTGAGGGGTCAGCAAGAGAGACAGCAACTGGCCGAGCGAGTGGCTCAAGGACAGTGCGGTCACGAAAGAAAGAGCGAGAAGCACCTGAGTCCAGTGTAAAGGTGTGCAGTGCTGCAGTCGACTCAGTACCAGGGGGCACAGACGCACTAGCACCTAGGGCAGCAGCCTCACCATCACCTGGGGTAGCAGACACGCGAGCACCTGGAGCGGCAGACGCACTAGCACCTAGAGCAGTAGGCTCACCAGCACCTGGAGTAGCAGACACGCGAGTACCGGGAGTGGTAGCCTCACCTGCTCCGAGGGCAACAGACGTACTGGCACCGAGAGCGGCTGCCTCACTCACAGAGCGACTACCACTACGGCCACCCCGACTGCTCAAACCGGCGTACCACTCACGAGCCTGCTGGAGCAGAAGAGGGCACGGCTGCTGCACCTGTCCACTACCGGAGCCTCCCGAACGACGGACGCCAGAGCGACTACCACTACGGCCACCCCGACTGCTCAAACCGGCGTACCACTCACGAGCCTGCTGGAGCAGAAGAGGGCACGGCTGCTGCACCTGTCCACTACCTGAGCCTCCCGAACGACGGACGCCAGAGCGACTACCACTACGGCCACCCCGACTGCTCAAACCGGCGTACCACTCACGAGCCTGCTGGACCAGAAGAGGGCACGGCTGCTGCACCTGTCCACTACCAGGGGCTCCCGAACGACGCACGTCAGAGCGACTACCACGACTGCCACCCCGATAGCCCCAACTGGCGTACCACTCACGAGCCTGCTGGACCGTAGGAGGGCACGGCTGCTGCACCTGTCCACTACCAGGGGCTCCCGAACGACGCACGTCAGAGCGACTACCACTACGGCCACCTCGATAGCCCCAACTGGCGTACCACTCACGAGCCTGCTGGAGCGTGAGGGACTCACGCGCACGGTCCTGTGGCTGCATCTGGCCACGTCAGGAGCAGCAGGAGTAGCGGGAGTGGGAGTAGAAACGGCAGTAGTAGCAGTAGCAGCGGTAGCAGTGCTGGCAGGGCAATGCTCACCAGTGGTCGGCGTGGCAGGCGCAGTAGGAAGCTCCGCGGCAGCTGCTGCAGAGCTAGACCGGGCTACGACGGCAGTTGCTCCAGGGGCGGCTGCTGCAGGTGCGGGCGGCTCCAGGGGCGGCTGCTGCAGTGGTGGGCGGCTCCAGTGGCTGCTGCCGCAGTGGCGGGCGGCTGCAGGGGCTGCTGCTGCAGTGGCGGCGGCTCCAGGGGCTGCTACTGCAGTGGCGGCTGCTCCAGGGGCGAGAGGCGGATTAGGGTTAGGTGGCGACGGCGCGGGCAGGGCGACGCGGCGGGCAGGTGGCGACGCCGCGGGCAGGGCGACGGATTAGGGTTAGGTGGCGACGGCGCGGGCAGGTCGACGCGGCGAGGAGGTGGCGACGCCGCGTGCATGTGGCGCGGGCAGGCGACGACGCCGCGGAGAGGCGGCGACGCTGCGGGCAGAGCGACGCGGCGGCCGGCTAGGGCCTGCAGGGGCGGCGCGCGTGGCCTGACGGGTCTGCAGGGGCGGCTCTCGGGCCTGACGGGCCTGTAGCGGCGGCTCGGGGGCCTGACGGGCCTGCAGCGGCGACTCGGGTGCCTGACGTGCCTGTAGCGGCGGCTCAGGTGCCTGACAGGCCTGCAGCGACGGCTCGGTGGCCTGACGGACCTGCAGGGGCAGCTCGAGGGCGCACGAGGGCGCACGAGGGCGCACGAAGGCGCACAAGGAGAGAAAGGCGCACGAGGGCGCACGTAGGGTAGGGCGCACGAGGGCGCACGTAGGGTAGGGCGCACGAGGGCGCGTAGGCGCAAGAGGCGCACGGTAGGTAGGTAGGTAGGTAGCGGTGGGCCCTAAGAACGGTCCTAGCGATGGACCTGCTCTGATACCATGTCAGAATAACTGAGCAGGAATGGAATGAACTAGCACAGAGTTTGGTACAAGTAGGAAACCCTAACTTTGTGTACCCTCTAAGGTGTAACCCACTACAGCCTACACAATATAAACATGCAATGTTTGACAGACAACCCGTGAATCGCTATAACCTCCGCTATGTCCGCCTTCAACCCTTCGAGGTAGCGATCGCGCATCTCTGCTTCCGTGATGTCGTCTATCTCGTTGCAGATGCTCAAGAACCGTCGTGTGTACTCCTGGACGTTGCCTATCTGTCGGAAATGACGCAGACGCTTCCTAGCAGCTTCGGAGGCGTTCACCAAATCGAACCTACTTTTCAGCGCCGCTTCAAATCCTTCCCATGTCGTCGGAACCGTGGTAACACCCAAAGCTAAACTCCCTAAGCTCGAAGTTGCAGCTGCATGCCCCACGCCCTGTTGATGCCCGTCCGTCTGAGCCCTTCTAACAGCAGTCTGCGTAAGTTGGCGCCACCACTCCAAGGCCGGGCCCCTCAGCAGCGTCACCGCGTACTCGATCCGCTGCTGCGCGTCCGCCTCTTGCACCCCGCTCGCGGCGAAGTAATTGTTGAGCATGAAGAGCCACGTCCGCACGTTCGCGTCGCGTTGGCTCGGGTCGAACGACTCGGGCTTCTGCGGCTTGAGTGCGCTGCGACGTTCCGGCAGCGCTTCCGCGCCAGTCGACGTGGTGGGTGCAGGAGATGGTGCGGCATGACCATGGGGGTTAGAAGCCAAATTGCGAAGCTGTTGCATTTCGGCTCGTACCTGACGATTTTCCAACGTCAGCTGTTCGAGTTGGCGCATGAGCTCGGCAAGCGCGTTGCCCATGTCTTGGGGGAGAGCGTTCATGGTCTCGTCCATGTTGGCTCGACGACTCCAAGTCTGCAAGTCGGCACCGCGGGACGATGACGTCGTAGTCTCGTCGTCGACGGTCGCTCGTTGGAAGTCGCTCCCCGCGAAGGCTCTGATACCAAGTGTTAGGCCCGACGGCCTAAGTCCGCTAACGAATAACTGGGTCGACTAAGTCGAGGATAAAACGCGGCGGAAGACTTTGGCGAAAAGACTATTGGCGAAATAGGCGAAGGAGTTACTGAGTAATGAAAGAGTTGAACGAGAATTGGTTGATATGAGGGAATACAAGCAAGGTTTATATAGCATGCAAGAAACAAGGTTGGAAAGTAGATTGTGGGACTAGGAATTGTGAAGCTAGAAAAGTAGAGTGCCACGTGGCACTAGGAAATCCAAGAAGATAAGGATAGGGATGACTTGGATGGGTTGGGAAAGTACTGTTCAAAGGGAACAGTAAATCCCCCTTTAATAGACAGCCTAAAACCGCGTGGTTTTCAAAAGTGAATAACGGAGTAATTTTCCATCACAGGGCGACCTAAGGGCGCGTCTTTTGGTGTAGACGTTCGGAATTTTGGTTGAACTTTTGCTGGTTACCGTATTCTTTAATTTCGCTAAATCTTTCGCCAGGACGTCGTGTGTCCACGTACACTTCCAGCATCGGAAAATGTTGAGCTCCCAAGTTGAACCCTCATCAACAAACAGGTTGGCACGAATGTGCGAGCGTGTGTCCACCTCATCACTGACAGCGACGATGCGAAGTCTGCGACGCTCGCAGCTAGCATCGTGCGCACGAGGGTGCTCGTCAGCGCGAGGCCTTACGTGGCGCGATCTCAAGAGCCCAAACCGGGTAACCTACAAGCGTAGGTCGCGGCTCGGCTGGGCTGCAAAAGTTCAACTTCGATAGTTGAACTTTTGTTTGTCGCGTGATTTTCGGGAGGGGTGGAACCGCGGCTCGGTTTGCAGTTGGTGAAAACTCGAGCCTAGCTCGAGCTAGGTTCAAATGACTACAGTTCAACAAAAAATTCGAGATTTGCATGTAAAAACCAAAAGACACGCGCCCTAACTGACTGACGCATTGGCGTAGTTCCCGTACGGCAAAGTCGCTATCATCCCAATCTCCAGTTCTGCCAGCCAGCAGCTATTGGTATTAACTAACTGACGTGACGTTCCTCAACTGACGTGGGCGCTCGTGAAGTTATACATAAACTAAAGGATTGGAATAGTTGTTCCCTTTTCCGCAGCGCACTGTCCGATGGGATCGCGAGCAAATCATCGTCATTCGCAGGGTGACTTTCTCGTGTAGCCCTCATTCTTCTTCGCAAAGGTTCGCAAAACTGCGCTAGCCGTTTTGCGATTCTCGCCATGAACTTGAAGAAGATTCTCCAGGCCGGTTTAGGCGTCGTCATCATCCTCGTTATACTCGTCTTCGTTAGAGAACTCGCCCGCGAAACAGGCAGCCACCCGTCTCACTCTTCCGCCAATGCTAACCGCAAGGAAGCCCCCCATGAGATCATAGAGAAACTTAAAGAGCAGGTAGCGGGCCGCGAGGCGGAAAACACGGAGATGCAAGATCTGGAGAAGGAGATCCAACGGCTGAGACAAGATATCAGGGTTCTATCGAGCGGCGCAGGGCTTCCGACCGGAGCGCACTTATCGGCGACGGATTTAAAGACTGCAGCAGATGTAGGGGTGGATGCCACTGCTATATGCGAGCAGCAGCTATCTCACTGTAAGAGGCAGAAGCTTGAAGGTCGCTCTTTACTCTCCAGTGACCCTTCCGCTTCTGTCTCCGCGCCAACGGCGGGCGCGGAAGGGTCGGCAGCACCCGCGGGTGGCGCAGGAGGAGCGGGGGGAGCAGCGGAAGGGAGTTCCAGTGCCGCTCCGCCAGTCTCCCCCGCGGTGGCGGAGCTCCAGCGGAAGCTGGCGGATCTACGGACGGCGTACGATGCGATGATGATTGACAAGCGCAATCTGACGGCTGAGCTCGCGCGGCTGTCCCACAACGGCACGTGCGGGCCGCTGGTCAATCTGACCATGGTGGAGGGCGCGGCTCGGGACCTAGCTTCGGAATGCGCGGATGCCGCTAAGAAGCAGACGGAAGCGGAAATGCAGATAGTAACGGGGGGAGCAGGGGGAGCAGGCGGAGGGGGAGGGGGAGGGGGAGGGGGAGGGGGAGGGGGAGGGGGAGGGGGAGGGGGAGGGGGAGCGGAAGGGGGAGGAGAAACGGGAAAGAAATTGTCTCCGCATGAGGAAAAGCTGATGTCGTGTCGGACGTGTAACGGATCGGATGAGGAGTTACAACAGTATATGAACTATACTGCCAGACAGGCGTGTCCCGACGACTGGTTACTCGCTCAGCGGCTCATGTTTGAAAAGAATTGCTTCTGCCTGCCGCGCCGCCTCTGCTTCGCAGCCACTCCACCGCATTACACCGAACCCAACCTTGGCCCTCCGGATTCTCATTTTAGTCAGGAGATGCTGCGAGATGAGAATGTACGGTGGGGATTGCACGAGTGTAAATCGTACGCGTGTGTGAATTCACGGGAGAAGGGGGAGTGCAGGAATTGTTTCAACATGAGTTTGGAGGTGAAGCGGTGGCAGACGCCATACCTGGGCACCATACCTATGGCGCAGGTCTGGCAGCTCAAGCCTCCCGGCTCGCTTCGGATTGGCCTGGATGTGGGTGGAGGTTCGGGGAGCTTTGCAGCTCACATGGCCCATTACAATGTAACCATCCTTACAACTTCTATGAATAAGGAGTTCATAGAAGGTGTAGATGGGGGGCTGCCTTATATGGAGACTATAGCGTTAAGGGGGTTGGTGCCGCTTCACGTCCCCACTAAAGCCCGGCAACCGTTTTTCGACAACACCCTCGATATAATACACTCAGCTCAAAGCGTTCGTTATTTTTCAGTTTCAGAACTGGAGGAGCTGATGTTTGAATGGCACCGAATTCTTCGGCCGGGCGGCATTATTTGGTTTGAGCTGCTGACTGCGCCGGCAAGCAAGATGAAGCAGTATATTGTGGTGATTAACATGTTCAAGTATAAGCAGCTGTACTGGGATCTTGCGCCTGTGGATGATCCCAAGAAGAGCAAGACCCATGTGTACTTGAACTGTGTATTGGAGAAGCCTAGGAAGTCGTAGGTTTGTAAATGTGCAGTGCAGTGCAAGGTTTGCTGGCTCGCATTTTCTTTTTGGTTCTCCTGATTATACTGGTATGCGAGGTACTGAGTTAAATTTAAATTTGTTTTTCTGGTCGTAACCAGTTTATAAGGGGTATCCACTCCTAGATGAGCACGTGCTAACCCCTACTTGGGGCTGGCAGAACACGCCTGCACGGGGGTGGGTTCGATCCCAGGACCTCATCTATCGGAAGTGCCTCTTTCTACTGACTAGGCCACTTCGGGATAATGCGAGGTACTGAGTCAAGGTACCTTTCAACTAAAGACATATACACTACTGCAGAGAAACGTGAGCACATATCACTGGCGTTGGGGGCTTGAAACGGGGCCTTGAAAACTCACGAAGGCGTTGGGGTGAGCTGGGGGTTCTCAGGGGCGGGGTGCGGAGTTGGTCAAAACGCTGTCTTGAACGAATCAGCCAAGAAAACAGAAGGGTTGAGAACGGCATATGATTTTTACAAAACGTTTATATATGGTGTGCTGCGGTACTCGGACCATTTACGTCTTGACCGGCGTTTTGACCGATTTTGCACCGCGCACCGAATCGGGCCTGGTTCGGGGCGAACAAACGGATGGTCCTCGATTATTTTCCGAATGTTATCGGAACAAATAGTTCTCTTGCTCTACATTTTTTGTTTCTTGTAGCGACCAACTCTTCTCTTTCTTCTCGACCAACTCTTCTCTGCGAAATTAGCACTGCCCTGCCAGGACTGCGGCTATGGAGCGCGCAGCACTCCTCTGCATGCTGCTCTGTAAGCGCCGCATTCATCACGAGCCGCATTCATCTATCGACGCTGCCTCTCCGCTTTCTCCGCTTTCTCCGCTCTCTCCGCTGCCTCTCCGCTCTCTCCGATGCCAGAACTAAGTTTCTCTGAGTGTGCCGGTTGGCAGAGGCTCTAGTTAACGTTTTCTAGAAATTGCCAGATCGTGTCGTCGTTATCGTTCTCAGCTCCTCATGCTCTCGACTCCTGCTGCCTGCCTGCCTGCCTGCCTGCCTGCCTGTCTGCCTGCCTGCAGGTGCGACACTCTTCACTGCCTGTGACGCGTCTGCCGCATCGTTCCTCCCTCGCGACGCGGGAGCCATTGCTGCGTCTGCCACTTCTGCCGCCTCTACCCTTCACCCCAGGCGTCAGCTGTTAAAAGGAAAAGTAATAGGTGAGCGTGTGTAGCGCTTGTTGCGCGTGACGCGCCTCAGATGGTGTGTAACGCTTACCTTCAGTAGTTCTAGTCGTACGAGCCCTAGTAGTTTAATAACAGCCTCGGGGCTGGATAGTGCCTTTTGAGGCGCCTCAAAAATGGTGCTACGTACCTACTTCACCCTTCGACCCGCTGCGACCGATTTCTTAACAGCAGCCCCAGGGAGTGTCGCGTCATACGGAGGAATGCCATTTCTACCATGCGACATGCGACATGCGATTTGATGTTGTTACCGTATCATGCCTTCATGCAGCAGTACAATGTGTCACTTCACTTCTATCCCTCCACTGACTTTTTCCCCCCTCTGCCCGATCCCTGCTACTCCCACTTTCCAGCGAAATACGCCGCCACCTTGCGTCCTACGTGGCACCAGGGGAAAGTGATCGGCGACAAAGCGGCTTCGGGGAGAGTTGTTGCGAAGGCGGTGAAGTATGGAGAGTGTCATGTTCTTCACTTATTCTTAGCTTGTTCTTAGCTGCTTTTTTTTTTTTTTTTTTTTTTTTTTTGAGGCGCCTAGGAACGTTTCTGGAGTCATCACGTGTGAAAGCCGCGAGATCTGTCTTTCTGAGGCTCCTGGAAACGTGCATGGATTCATCCTGTGTTAGAACTGTGAGATCATGTCCCATTAATGTGAGGTCATGTCCCATTGATGTGAGATCATGTCCCATTGATGTGAGATCATGTCCCATTGATGTGAGATCATGTCCCATTGATGTGAGATCATGTCCCATTGATGTGAGATCATGTCCCATTGATGTGAGATCATGTCCCATTGATGTGAGATCATGTCCCATTGATGTGAGATCATGTCCCATTGATGTGAGGTCATATCCCATTGATGTGAGATCATGTCCCATTGATGTGAGATCATGTCCCATTGATGTGAGATCATGTCCCATTGATGTGAGATCATGTCCCATTGATGTGAGATCATGTCCCATTGATGTGAGATCATGTCCCATTGATGTGAGATCATGTCCCATTGATGTGAGATCATGTCCCATTGATGTGAGATCATGTCCCATTGATGTGAGATCATGTCCCATTGATGTGAGATCATGTCCCATTGATGTGAGATCATGTCCCATTGATGTGAGATCATGTCCCATTGATGTGAGATCATGTCCCATTGATGTGAGATCATGTCCCATTGATGTGAGATCATGTCCCATTGATGTGAGATCATGTCCCATTGATGTGAGATCATGTCCCATTGATGTGAGATCATGTCCCATTGATGTGAGATCATGTCCCATTGATGTGAGATCATGTCCCATTGATGTGAGATCATGTCCCATTGATGTGAGATCATGTCCCATTGATGTGAGATCATGTCCCATTGATGTGAGATCATGTCCCATTGATGTGAGATCATGTCCCATTGATGTGAGATCATGTCCCATTGATGTGAGATCATGTCCCATTGATGTGAGATCATGTCCCATTGATCACTTGCTCTCACGCGATTCTCCTGTGTGTCAGGACATGCTTAAGCTGTGAGGCGGGTTTTAACCACGTGAGGTGCGGGTGTGTGTGCTGCTTACTCTAGCTGACACTATTGAGGGATCACCATAGCACTGCAACCGACACACTGACACAGCTAGCGCTTGTGTTTTTGAAAAGAAGAAATAAACTCAAGGCTTAACTGGGAGCGAGCACGTATAGAATGCTACGAGCAAGTCAGTATTGCCTATGCAACCTCTGACAAGGGGGTAAGTCAGCACAAGCAACCTGACTAACTTCAAATTTCCCTGTCTCTTCCCATGCCCGCTTGACAGGTACACTGAAACAAGATACACTGTTTTTCTGAAGATATTCATTTTCGCCATCAAATCCGGAGGAAAACCTCCCCTGACTTCTCCTGCATTAACTTGCACAAGCGGTACCCCTTCTTACATGAGTATTCCTGAAGATAAATGGATGAATATAACGACGCGGAAAGGAGGCGGTAACAAGCGTTACAGCTTCAAAATGGGAGGCACAACGCCCACCACGTCTGAGAAATCTGCGATCGAGGATGCGGCATTTATGAATGGGGGTGGCAAGTACTTCATTGTATCGAGCGGAGGGAAGAAGTATGCCCTTTGCGGGAAGTATGTTCGGAAGAAATAAGTACAGTAAGAGCGGATTGCTGGAGATGTCCCGAACAAGCAAGAAGGGGCAGGGGGAAGAAGTATGTTCTCTGCAGGAAGGATCTTATGGAAGAAATAAAGATCGCATCTGTGTGGGTGATATTCGGCTGTAATTCTATGTTATAAGTAGCGTCTACACATTTCAGAACAAGCAGAATTGAACACTAATCAAAGTGATTCCATGTATTGACAAGCAGCGCTACACTACAACAAAAACATGTGCACACATCTCTGGCAGATTCAGTCAGACTTGACAGATTCAGTCAGCCTGACGGATTCAGTCTGGAAGAAACGTCCCATGGAAACCATATGGTACTCTCTTCGGAAGAATGACCCGCGCCAGTGGCTGCTTGTCCAGATTCATTGCATCTAGCACAATCACTTCGCTCCTCATCTCCTCCTCATCCCACACATGTGCCAACACCCATCCATCATCCTCCTCCTCTGCACCCATCCCCACCGCATCTCCACCTACTCCGACCACCCATCCATCATCCTCCTCCTCTGCACCCATCCCCACCGTATCTCCACCTACTCCGACTGTTTCTGACCGCACTTCACCGCTCTGCACCCTGCTGCTGCTCTGGAAGTGGTGCCGTGGAGCAAACACAGGCTCCCCACAGAACCTCCCGGGTGGGAGAGAATGCACCTGGTATGTGCCTTGTTGAAAATCATGCTTCATGATCGCATTGAATGAGGGGACAGTGGTGCCTGGTGGTGGTAACGGGAGGGTGTGTGGGGAGTGTAAGACAGATAAAATTACGCAGAAAGGAGTGAGATGGTGGCGAGAGTCAGTTGAGAGGGCAGAGAAAACAGGGACTTAAAGCTGCGGTCTACATACTAAGTGGTGTTTTTTGGGTGTATTTTTTATGCCCACCCTTTCGTGCAGCCTGATTGGAGAACGAAGTCAGCATGTTTCAGAAACACCGCAGCAGACAGACAGGAAACGCAAATCCAGCCCAATTTTGTGCTGACATGTGGTTTGGAGGAGGGTCTGCAGAAGGGCGGGAAACAACCTGGGGAGTTCGGTTTCGGGCGGAAAGAACCCCAACCCCCTTTCTCCACCCCTCTCAGCCGTTAGCTTTGCAGGAAAGGGAGCCAAGTCCAAAAGCTGGTCACCCTGTTTTCAAGTGATAATCTCAGGCCTCCCGCTCGAAGTATGTAAGCCGCAGCTTTAAGACAGAACCACCACGAGCACCACCCCTGCCCCACCCACCACCACCCCTGCCCACCCACGAACATTCCTCTGCACCACTCACCTGGGCCGGGCTGTGCTGTGAATCGGGCAGAGTAGGCGAAGCGATGGGGGCGACCCGTGAAATTGGGGTTGATGGAGGGGAAGTCGCAGCACACCTGTGCAGGTGGGGAGAGAAGGGAGGAGAGGTGAAACGAGAACGCGAAAAGTGTGAGTGAGGAGAAATGGAAATAAAACAGCACACATGCATTTGTTTCAAGCCTAGATGCTAGCTCTTCAACCAGCTAGTAAACGGGACTGCTCTTATACTGTTCGCGACTGGACAACACGATCCTGCTTTGTTGAGATGTTTCAGAACACGCCTTAAATGCTTGATGCATCTTACGAGAGCCTTCGAGGCATCTCAAACCACGTCATCCATACCTCGCACAAGCCAGAATCTGACTTCTCTTTAGGTGCCTCGAAAGCACCCGCAATCCATACCTTGCACAAGGGCCGCTCCTCCACTGCTCCCGATTGCAGGTCCAGCCTGTACTCGTGCAGCCGTGCCACCTCATCGCATGCCAGCTCATCTGCCAGCTCAGCAAGGCCCAGCGCTGAGAAGGCGGGGAAGCGGATGACACGTAGGATGATGGCGGGAGGAGGGGAGTGTGGGGTGGGTGACGAGGGGGAAGAGGCGGAGGAGGGAGAGGTGGAAGAGGAGGTGGGAGAGGAGGAATGGGAAGAGGGTTCTTCGAATGCATTAACCACATGAAGACAGAACCTGCAAGGAGGGAAGGGAACAGGAGGAAGGAGATGGAACAAGAGAAAGGATTGTGATGGGAGAGGGAAGGGGGCAAACACGGCATGTGGGGAGGTCAGTGTAAACATCAAATCCGATCGCATCAAATCATATTAAATCACTGAATTCGAAGCCCAGAAGATACCAAATCTTACCCTGGCGCCACAGTAAACCAGCAAATGTCTGGATTGGAGCCAAAACGAGGAAGCACTCCTATGCGGGATGGCTTGGACTGGAGTAATGGGAGTGAGGGGGATGGAGAGAGAATACGACAGAGGGTGAGGGGTGAGGAGGAGGAATGAGAGCCGGAAAGGAATCTGAGAGCCCCCTCACATCCTCTCTCGTCCTCTCCAGATAGAGAGTTGGGAGACCAAAGCAGGATTGAAAAATGCCCTGAATAAGGGCAGTAGTATACAAGACAGCAAACAGGACATCAGAGTCTGAAAAAAAAAAAACAAACAAACAAACAAACAAAAAAAAAGTGGGGTGCGGGAGGGGAAGAGTGGTGATAGCAGCTTACCGGGTCGAAAACGAAAGGCTTGGCCTTGCCATGCGACTGAATGACTTTGTCTAGCTGGAAGCGAAGCGGGAAGTCGAGGAATATGCTGTAGTGCTGTGCTATGGCGAAGTCATGCATCTGAAGGGAAGGTGAGGGGGGAGGGAAAGAGGAAGAGATGAGGAAGGAGAGAGGAGCAGAAAAAAGGGCGGGGAGGCAGAAAGGAGTGGGGAGATGTGATGAGGGAATGGAGTATTGAAAGATGCAGAAAGGAATGGAGTATTGAAAGGGAGTGTGGGAGAGGAAGAGTGTAAGATGCAACAGTGCCCCACCATACTGGCAACATTATCACTCGATAACATAGCCCACCATACCATGCCAAACCACACAGAACACTACCAAACAGCTTTCTAGCGGCACCACCGGTACTACCGGCACCAACAACCCATACCATGACATAACCCACCAGGCCATTAAATACTAAGACATCAGACATTACTGTACCGCTCTGTACCATGACAAGCCTTACGACCAACCAAACCAAACCATACCAAACCACGTCAAGCACCACTCCACCGCTCTGTACCATGACAGGGTGTGGCAGGTCGAGGTCAGTGGCGTGAATGAGAGCGCCGGAGGGGTCAACCACCCCGTAGCGGAGATAGGGCTGGGATGGGAAGGGAGGTGGGGACAGGAAGACAAGAGTGTTTTTTTCTGCCTTGAGAGGGCAGAATGAGAAGGAACTTTGATGCACATCACCAAGACTACATTCTTTCTTCCTGTGAGGGGAAGGGAGGTGAGGACAAAAAAAGTACCCTCTCATTTTTTAGTACTTTGATGAAAGCCTTGAGCGGGCACAATGAAAAGTTACTTTGGTGTACATCACGGAGATTTAATTTAAAAGGCTACAACTATGGCTTTGATCTCGGTTGGGCATCAAGTTCTAGAGTGTGAAGTGAACTAGTTATTTCATGAGTCCAGTTGTAACCATAAATCAACTTGTGGTTTTGTTCAAAGCCTCAGAACTCTCAGCAGTTCAATTCTAATCTCCTGAAAGCATAACTCTCACCTTGTGTGTGAGGTTGTAACCGTAGATCATCATGTGGTTCGTGACCGGATCCACTTTCGGGTGAGCTGTCATCCCGCTGCGCCACGTGTCATCAAACGAGTGGACGCCCTGAGGGAAATACAGCATGAACGATGGGATGTGGAGAGGACATTACCAAGCAAAAGGTGGGCTAAAGCACATTTAAATAGCGGAAGGAGTAATTGAAGGAAGGGCAAGAGGCACGTGAGAGGTAAGAAGCAGAAGGGGTACCTTGGTGTCGAGGGTTGAGGGGTGGAGGGAGTAGGGCAGGCCTGCTTCCCAAGAAGAAGGTGAAGGTTCAAACGGTAAGTTTCCAGGAAATGTGTGAAGGGGGGGTGGGTGGGGGGAAAGGGGGGTGGTACCTTGGTGTCAAGGGTTGAAGGGTCGAGGGAATAGGGAAGGCCTGCTTCCCAGAGGGAGAGGAGGCGACCGGCGTGCTGAATGAAATGGTTGTTGGACACGTTCTTGGTCTGATGGGGGGGGCGGGGAGAGGAGGGGAGGGCGGAGAAGGACAGAGGCAGAATGAAAAGAGGAGGCGACTGGCGTGCTGGATGATATGGTTGTTGGACACGGTCTTGGTCTGATGGGAGAGAGGGGGAGAAGGGGGGAACAGACGTGAGAAAGACGCGGAGAAAGGCATGCAGGATGAAATAAAGGCAACCATACTGGACCATACTGGACCATACTGGCCAGGATGAGTACTTGAGAAATATGGACCCTCCTCGAACATGTTCCATATGGGTGCGTCCAGCTGTCTCAGCCTGAGAAGGTTCATTGCAGCCAGCAACAGGTGACTCGGCCCCAGCCTTACCTGCTGCACAACCTGCACCCCACCATACCCCTTATAAGCATACCGTACCCGTTAAAAGCCTCCTCCTTCCTCACCATGTTCCACATAGGCGCGTCCTGCTGTCTCAGCCTGAGGATGTTCATTGCAGCCAGAGCAGATGGCTCGCCCCCAGCCCCACCTGCTGTACCACCTGCACCACACCATACCCCTTATCAGAACACTATACCCCATATAACCACTCCATACCTCTAAAAAGCTTACCATGTTCCACATAGGCGCATCTTGCTGCCTCAGCCTGAGGATGTTCATTGCTGCCAGCAACAGATGGCTCGCCCCTCCTGCTGCACCACCCGCACCACACCATACCCCTTATAAGCATACCGTACCCCCTATTAACCTCCTCACCATGTTCCACATAGGCGCGTCCTGCTGTCTCAGTCCAAGAAGGTTCATAGCAGCCAGCAGCAGGTGACTCGCCCCCAGCGCCACCTGCTGCACCACCTCCACCAAAAGACACCCCTTATAAGCATACCATATTCGCTATAAGCATCCTCACCATGTTCCACATGGGTGCATCTTGCTGTCTCAGCCCGAGAAGGTTCATTGCTGCCAGCAGCAGGTGACTCGCCCCCAGCCCCACCTGCTGCAACCCTCCAAACAGCGTCCGCCCCGCCGCCCGCTCCTCCTGCCAGCCTGTCGTTCGGATGTAGCGCCGCCCGTAGCTCACTCGAGAGGAATGAAAGTTCTCCTCATCCAAGTGAAGGTTCTCCCTGGGGAAGTGAAGGTTCCTCCCAGCAGGGTGAAAGTTCTCCTCAGGCGGGTGAAAGTTCACTGAATGTACCATGCCATCCCCGTCGAACCAGTGGTAGAGCGCGGGGCTGGAGGGAGGCAGCTGAGGGTTGGGGCCGTTGCGGATGAACCGACCCCTCAGCCCGGGAGGGATTTGGCCGATTACCTGGTGTAGACACAGAGGGGCAGACAGACAGAGATGCAGAGTGGCAAGGAAAAAGGAGGTGGCCACCGGACGAAAATCAAGTGTGACTATAGACACAGCATCATGTGATTTTATTACATGCTAGAGCCTCGTCAACATTCATGTGAGAGGCAGGTGCGAGTGGCAGGTGCACTCACAGCGCAGTCCAGCTCCTGCAGCTCCTCGGTGCCCACTGGACGGAAGTTGCCACTCAGGTACGGATTGCGCGTAGGATTGCTCTTGGCTGATGCACTGCTCGCAGTTTTGGAGACGTCCCCACCATCTTGACCTCCTGCTGCTCTCTCCTTAGTACCAGGTGCCAATGAGCCTGAAGCAGAGACAGAGGAGTTGCTAGAAGTAGCTTCAGTAGCACCAGTGGCAGCAGCAGCAGCAGCGCCAATGACAGAGAACACATCAGCCACTCCATGCACTGTGTGAGACGCCTGCCTGCCTGACCGCCTCAAACTCGCCCTGGTCTTGGCATTAGACGCGTCCAGCCTTGCCTTGAGAGTCCCCACGTCCAGGTGTCCCTCCAGGTGCTCCAGGTTGATTCCCAGGTGCCTCAGCTGCGCCCTTGTCTTGGCGTTGGACGCGTCCAACCTAGATTTCAGTGCCCGCACGTCCAGGTGCCCCTCCAGGTGCTTCAGGTGCTCCAGGTGCGACAGGTGCTGCTGCAGGTGGTCAGAATCAGCCAGATGCTGCAGGTGCTCTCGTGTCCGTTGATTTGATTCTCTTAGCCGCTCATACGTCCACTGGTGCCCCTTCTTCAGATGGCTAAGCGTCCACTCATTAGACGCGTTCAGGCGATTTCTCAGGTGCTTCAGGTTCTCCCTGGTCTGTTGATTCGATTTCTTCAGGTGCTTCGCCGTCCACTCGTTGGACGCGTGCAGGCGACTCCTCAGGTACTTCAGGTTCTCTGTGGTCCGTTCGTTCGACCGCTGCAGCTGCCGCTTCACCTCACTCAAGTCCAAATGCGCTGTGAGCCGTTGATTGGGTTGATCAGAAGCAACAGGAGGCATCTCTGCTGCTGCCTGCTCCTTAGCCTGCTCCCCAGTCTGCTCCCCTGCATGCTCCTCTTCCTCCTCACCGATCGTTCCACTCTCTCCCAACTCCCCAACTGCCTCTGACTCTCCCCTCACTTCTTCACTCTCTCCTGTTCCTCCCCTCCTCCCGCCATCAGCAACACCACCAGCAGCACCACCAGCGGCAGAAGCAGCAGCAAGCAGCGGCGATTTGAAACTGGAGAAGGGGTAGGAGGCACGCGGCTTTCCGAGCCTATGAGAGCACACGCCGCGCCCAGAAGAGAAGCTCGATCGGTTGAGACCAGTCGTGATGGTACGACGGCGAGCGAGAACGGCGCTTGACAGGAACGGAGCTGGAGTCCAACGGGAGGGGCGAAGAGAGCACTCCTTACGAGGTAAGCTGCCTCCTCCTGAAGCGGAAATCGCGGCCATCGCGGCGGGGATGGAGGTGGATACAGCTGACAGAGACGCCATGGCTGCGAGATTAACGGTCAGGAGGCAAGGAGAAGTGTGCAAGCACAGTCGACAACGATCTCTTGAAGCCGGCCAAGCCTGCAGCCTCTAGCAGAAAGGACCCAGAATGTCACCGTAAGGTCCTTCTGAACACTATCCAGAATGTCACTGAGCACTGCACTGCTTTTCCAGGTCTTGTGTCCTCCTCGCCTCCTCCTCCTCTTCTTCTTCCTCCAACGTTGGTGCGTCCAAGCGTAAACGATTCCGGAACTCCTTCAAGCAGCTGTCTGCTAACCAGGTTTGATATTTACTTCAGAAAATGATAACATGGTCAGAGCAAACCTTGCTGATACGACGCTCGCGTTTCCTCGAAAAATGTCCGAATTCCTGCAAATCTCAAGGACCGAATCGCTGGCAATGCGACTGCGTTGAAAAGGCGGCTCGGACGTTATTAATTGGAAGGGAATCGGCGGTTCGGCTGACTTTGACTCCGTCATTCTAGTATCGGATTGCATTGGCGTCGGGACACGCGGCGACGCGTGGTTAGAGAAGACCGCCATGGCCGCTGCAGCTGCTGCGCTGGATGACCTTGGGCACACCTGTCGTTCGAAGATAATCACCTCTGACACGAATAGCCGATTGTAAACACCTGTCGTTCCAAGGTAGTCAACCCTGACACGAATAACTGAACGCAAGCTGGCCCAACGACACGTTTCTGCGAGACAAGTGTGTTTGGAGGTGACGAGGTGAGCGTGATAATATCAATAATTAATACAAACTGAGCTCGAGAAGCAAGCCGGTGTAGCTCAGTGGTAGAGCATCTGTCTTGTAAACAGAAGGTCCAGAGTTCAATCCTCTGCGTCGGCATGCGTTTTGATGTCTCTCTAGCCAAGCCACCTGGCATGCGCCACTCTGGCATGATCGCCCAATCGCAAAGCTGCTCCTCCCAAATGCTGGGGAGAACAGGTGGAGGGCAGGCAATCCCCTGTCCGCTCCGAGATATTTGCCTGCTGAATGAATGCAAGCGCGCAAGGTGGCGAGGTAGATTCCGCGGTTAATTTCCGCGGGTGTTTCTCGCGGGTGCTCTCGGTGGGTATTTCTTGCGGGTATATTATCGCATCGTGGGATGTCCCGCTGGATTGTCTTGTAGGAATTTCTCGCGGGAATTTCAGGCGGGTATCCACGCGAATATCAAAAACTTGCGAAAAATGGGAAGCTACGTGTTTTTCCCGCAGGCTTTTGAACGATGGAATAACAAGCAGGTAGTTTTGCGAGTTCTGCACGCTGGTATGACAAGGGAACAAAGCGCTTCGTGGGCAGAAACAATAATACTAACTAAGCGCGGGTGGAATCCTTGAGATATTCTGCGGGGTTCTTCACGCATATTTGGGTAAGAATGCGCTTGGGCCCGACAATTGAGTGTGGTAGTGCGAAATCCGTGACTCTGTTCTGTACGAGTGACCAAACGTGATACCTTTTCGCGGTGAGGTGTGACCATCCGTGATAGCACTGTGATCACCCGCGATAGGAATTTACTGTACTGTGACTGTTCGTGATACCCCTATGACCAGACCTGATAATCCGGGCGAAATTGTGACTGCTTGTATAATTTCTCTAAAACGTGTGGGGTTTCGTGAGCTCGTTGTTATCGAGCGCAAAGCACCCAGACACTATAAAACAATCTTGCGGGATTTGAAAAAACGCATCTCGAGTGTGACGAATGTGTGGGTCGTGAATTCGTCAGTTTCACAGCCAGAAATTCAGAATTCTAACTGCTTGGTTTGTGAAATCGCCGATTCACAGCCAGCAACGCGAAAAAAAAAAAAAAAAAACAGTGGGGAACACAACACTAGCATGCACGCGGAACAGTGCACCGGACAGGTTTCGAGGGAAACCGAAAATCAGTCCGTTTTGGTGAAATCAGTCCGTGCATGAGCCTGTACACAGTGCAGATGCGGGTCATTCCCGCACTGACGACAGTCGATTACATCTTTATTTGGGCTCGTGAACGCGAAAAAAAATAAGATAATAAATAAACGAGAATTCTGAACAATCCCTTCCGCTCCGCCAGCAGGATGAGAACGTGAAGCTGTAAACATTTCGCGAACGTTTACCGTGTGGAGCCGAATTTACGAGGACGAACAAGTGCACGGGTCAAAACTGCAGCGAAAATATATATACAACACAGTTGCACAAAAAAAAAGGGAACCCACCCGCGATGCACGAAAAGAGAAACACACACGTATGTGGACCCCCTGTGCACAGCGGCCCACGAAGAGAGTTCCGCGCCTCTGTACAGTGCAGCGCCTCCGTACCGCGCCTCTGTGAGAAAACAGCAGCGCAAAAACAGCCTGAAATCTCCGCGTATCTGTTCCGCGAAGAATTCCCGCGCCCTTTTTCCGCGAGAAATTCCGCGGAAAACAGCAGGGGGATTTCCGTGTCTACGTTTCGCGTGTCTGTACAGTACATACATTTTTTCCCGCGGAAAGCTAGTGGTCTTGACTGCGATTTTTTTTTTCCCGCGCGCGGGCAACACCTGCTGAATTGGATGGGCCCCACAGCTATCCGCGGGCTGGGAATGTGTCAGGAGTGATTTCCCCCTTTTTGCCCCGAAAATCACTTTGTACTGTACACGAGCTTCATTCACGCCACTGTGTACACGCGGGCTCATTCTTGCACGCGCAAGTCAGTTGCTTTTTTTAATGGGAAACTATATCCTAGATCCTTACTTTCAGATTTCTCTCATATTTACCCCCAGGTTTACTCGAAAGGTCCCACTTTCTGGGATTTGGCTCACGCGAGGCCCAAATTATGTTCAAAACTGGTCCTGTAGGGCTCAAATATTGACACGTGTCTATTTCACACCAACAATTTTTGACGGGGCACAAAAACAATAATACCCCTGGGGAAACCAGGACACTTGTTCGGGAGGGATCAACCCTAAACACGGGAACCCGCCCGGTGTTTAGGGTTGATCCCTCCCGAAATGTATCCCGCGGGCAAAAATTAAACCCCTTGGCTTACGGCATGCCATTCGGGAGCATCAACCCTAAAATTTTAGGGTTGAGGCTCCCTCGGATGGCATCCCATCCGAGATGGTTTTAGTTTTTTTTTTTGCCCGCGATCTGCTTGCTGACTCGATTGCACTGCCTGCTTACGCAGGCAGTGCAATATATTACCCAAATTGTGTCCCGTTTCCCCAGGGGTATTATGTTTGGTTTGCCCCGTATAAAAAACCTTGCACGAAATCGACACGTGTCGTAATTTCTGCCCCGCAGGACCAGTTTTGAACATACTTTGGGCCTCGCGTGAGCAGAATTCCGCAAAGCTGGACTTTTTGGGTAAACTCGGGATCAAAATTGAGATATTTTTGAAACTGTGGAGCTGCGATGTACTTTCCCTTTTTAAATATTTCGCAATACTCCCGGGCCATTCTTTCACGCGCCTGTGTTTACAGGCAAAAATCGCGGGTGCGTTATCTTTTACTGGCCGTGTGTGTCTCGCAGGCTGGTTTGTGTGTGCGTGTTGTTGTTTTTTTTTTTCTTCAGGGTTATTCGTTTCCGTTCCCCCGCGTGTTATTCCTTGGAATGCTCCGCGTGTTCCACACGGGGAATGGTGAGGCTGGCTCGGTGGTCCCTGGCCTCGTCAGGTTGGGAGCGTGCTGCGTCAGGTGGTCCCGAGCCAGCTCGAAGACCCCGAGCTGAGTCAGCCTGCTTCCCGCCCCACGACAGGCTGGCGAGCTCGGTTTCGGGCGGTTGAGTGCAGCACGCGGGGTCGAGCTCGGAGCCCGGTAGCGCTACCGAGGCCGCTACCGGGACGCTACCGATTTCAGAAGTGAAATGTATTGGGAACACCCTTGTCTGGAGAGTGGATGCTGGCCCGAAGCGCGGCAGAATCCATGTTCTTTTGGGAGCAGGGAGTCATCAGAGCGATGAGTGCGTCGTGTCGTGTCATCTAGGGCTCTATGTGACTCGCCTCTGAACTCCATCTGCACAAAGCTACGACATTTACCAGAGGAGTTCTGCAGCAGTTACGTTCCGTCTTAGGAGGTCTTCGGAGGGAGTGAGATAAACGGTCTCGGATAGCTGCAGGGGGCTAGAACCTAAAAAAACTAGTAGTGCTTCCGTCACAAGGCGGCTTGAGGGGTCTCGCATACTTCGCCACAACAAGAGACATCAAAACATCGTTTTCGCTAATCCACGACCGTCTTCGCAGCCTTTCGCAACACCGCAGAATGGCCTCGTCAATCCTTCACTACTCCCGACCGTCGATTCTTAGACCACAGCAGCACACCAACTCTTGCGCAACCCGACTCGATACTAACTTACCGCGGATTAATGTAGCGCCCTTGCGGACGCCTTTCAAGGTGCAAGCCAGCAGCAGTGGTTATAGCAGCAGTTTTAGTAGCAATGGTATTGCCAGCCGTCAAGACCGCAGCAACTATAGCGATGACCTCATTTCCGCGCAACCCTCGACATTTTTCGAGGATCTACAGTCTCACATCCAATCAGCAGCGTCGCGGATTCTTCTTCCCTCGCTGCTCGCGGCGTCGCTTCTCACCACTGAGGCCATGCTGCCACCTCAGCAGTCCATGTTGCCGCCTCAGCAGTCCATTCTGCCACCTCAGCAGTCTGCTGAGCTGGCACCGCTGTCAGGAGCAGCAGCGGAACAAACGGGAGGTTCGACAGGGACGTTAGGGTCTGCAGCTGACGTGGCAGGGGCGGGTCCGCGGTGGTCAGGGTTAGGGTTACCGTTGGGAGGTATCGGGACCGCGCGTGCAAACGGACTGCTGCAGATGCCGCCAATTGAGCTGAAAAACACGTGAGTGCAATGCTGTAGACTGTGATTCTATCGAGTGTGATTTTGTCGAGCGCACTCTTGGTGAGTGTGGTTGTGTCAAGTACAAGAGTGTTGAATGTGACAGTTGCAAATGCTTCACGATCTCCCTCGCATTCCCTCTCCCTCTCCTCCGTCCTTTTTCCAGGTACTAAGTAGTGCGAGCAGGCGAGTCGGAGTGGGAAGCACTGGGTGTGATTCACACCAACCCCGTAGACAAGACAAATGTGCAGAGTGGGTTGTCAGCGGAGGGGAAGAAGCAGGCGGTGGAAGCTGCCAGGAAGCTGCGCAAGATGGACGCCTGCGGGGGAGGGTGCTGGATCTGGCCGTCCATCTCCCAGCGCGCGTATCAGACGGCTGAGATCGTTGCTTACGTGAACGGTGCAGATTACAGGTGCGTTGGCTGGCTGTTAGGGCGGGGAGATGCACCTACGGTGTGCCGTGTGAACTGAAAGAGGTGACTTTTGAGTCGACTCAAAAGTCACCTCGATTACAGGTGCGTTGGCTGGCTGTTAGGACGGGGAGATGCACCTATGGTGTGGCGTGTGAACAGCAAGAGAGAGTCAAAACTTCCGCTCACTCATAAAGTTGATGAATCCACTCAACCTTCGTCAGAGGAGTCAAATAATCACTGAAAGGCGTTCTTGTCTTTCAAGGATCAGTCACGGGTCCACTCCACGCCTTTGAGGCGCCTCTCCTCTCTCTCCTTGGACCACCCCTTTCACTCACCCTCCTCACCACCCTCCTCACCACCCTCCTCACCACCCCCCTTCACCACCCTCCTTCACCACACCCCATCCCCTCTTCCTCCCACCAGCCGCATTGTGCCAGAGTACAGCTTTCTGGACGCCAGGGGGCTGGGGGCGTTTGAAGGACAGCCGCTTGAATCGATGCGCGAGGTGAGTTGGGGGGAGAGAGAGATTGAGGCAGAGGAGGTAAGGGGGAAGGGGCCGGGAAGAGGGGAGGGGAGGGGAGAGGGAAGATGAGAGGGCAGAGGTGAAAGGGGGGCAGTGATTTATGAGTTTCAAAGATGAGCCACCTCTGGGATGCTTGATTCAAGTACGTCAAGCATAGTGGTTACATGGTGACATACATAGTATTGATGATTTTCACTATGTATGTCACCATGTACCCACGATGCCTATTAGGAACTCACTGTTCCCTTTCTGTGTCATCTCATGCCCAGCTCTTCCCTTCCCTGTGCCGCATCACACCTCCCTCGCCACATGCCCATCCTCAAATGTACATGTGGCGTCTCCTCAGAAAGGACTGGCCTCTCCTTTCTGTGCTCTCAGGGAGACTCTGTGCTCTCCTGTCTTGATCCACCCTCCCTCATTTCTCTCACCACACCACATGGCCCCCATGCCTCCGCCATCCCTCCTCTCCCTCATCTACAGATCTACCTGGAGGACTCGGTGTCCTCCCGCTGGCGCCCGCCCCCATTTACTGACGGCACCCCTCACGAGAGCGTGGCAGACGTGCTCGTGAGGGTGACGCAGCTCATGTCCATCCTTTTTGTGCCGGGCTCTCTTTTCGTGCTTGTGCTCTCCTCTCCAGGTGTATCTAGAAGACTCCGTGTCCTCCCGCTGGCGCCCCCCGCCATTTACTGACGGCACACCCCATGAGAGCGTGGCAGACGTGCTCGTGAGGGTGACGCAGCTCATGTCCATCCTCGAAACACAATACTCGAGAGATGTGGTCGTGATCGTTTCTCCGGACTCGGATTGCCTCTCCGTGCTACAATCTGCCCTGATCGGCAAGGATCTCAGAAGGTGCGCGAATGTGGAGGTACTAGCAGATGTGCGCGTGAGGGTCACGCAGCTCATCCTCGAAACACAGTATTCACGAGAGGCCGTGGTGATCGTTTCTCCAGGCTCGTATTGCTCGTGAGAGTGATGCAGCTCATGTCCATCCTTGAGACGCAGTAATCACGAGATGTGGTTGTGAGCATTTCCCCAGACTCGGATTGCCTCTCTCTCCGTGCTGCAGTCTGCTTTGATTGGGAAGGACTGGGGTGGAGGTGAGGCAGGTTGACTCAGCAACCTCTCCCAACCGTCCCCTCCCCTCTTCTTCCCCTGCTCTCCTTCTCCCCCCCTTCACCACACTCCATCGCCTATTGTTCCTTCACACACTCCAGTCACAGCGACCTGCAACAACAGGTAACAACTCTCCCACTTCCCCCAACTTCTTACTCCCCCTACCCCCTCCCCTCCCTTCTCCCCCCACCAGTCACAGCGACCTGTACTTTCAGCCTGGGGAGGTGAGGCAGGTAGACATCAGCAACAACGTCCCCCCTCCTCCCATATCCGGCCGCATCTCACTCAAGAGATAGCACATATTGATCATTCCTTTTATTTATGGGCGTGTGATTGGTGTAGTGAATTGTTATTTATGGGGTATCGCTTGCTTGCTTGCTTTGCACACTGCCTGCTGTGTAAACAAGTGGCGTGTAAAACACGGTTCTTCAGCTTTTTCCCTGGCCAGTCACTGCTGCAATCTACATTCCGGACCTGACTCTTGGTACAGCAACAGCAGCTAGCCAGCATATTACCAAAACCGCAACACCTTCCTTGGTTTAATATGGCCTATAAAGCAACTCACACACACTAGTAAAACTCAACTCCGCGCATAAATCAAAGCAGACACCTAATCCAGTAGCACACACCCCCTAACCCAGCACCTGCCCATCTGGCCTTTGGCATGTGCTCTCCCAGCCGCCCCCTCCCCAACGCCCCTTCGTCCCAAAGTTACCCAGAAAATCATTTCTTCCGGCGTACCACTTGCGATCGCCTAAGAATATTCATAGGGTTTCCATTCATGATCCACAGGCCGCTGCCCCCCAGTGCTTTATTCCTACGAGTGCCTAGCCACACAGATAACTCATTTCTCCACGTTGCATCAATTGCTGAGCTGAATGAAAAGCTCAGGGGAAAAACTTCCAGTCCTTGATCTGCCCTGCCCCCAATCAGCCACTCCCGCCTTAACGCCTTTTCCTCCTCCAAAGTACCAAACGACTCCCTTCTTCTCGTCGTACCTCTTGCTGAGCTGAATGAACGCCTCAGAAGCCCACGGCTTGCCATCTTTGATGTGCCCCAGCCTCTCGCTCGCTCCCTGCTGCTCATTCCTATGGGTACCGAATAACCCCTTTCTTCTTGTCATACCACTTGCTGAGCTGAATGAACGGTTCAGGGGCCCACGGCTTGCCGTCTTTGATCTGTCCCGGCTTCACCCATTTGGCCCGTGGCTTGTACGCTCCCGGTCCCTTGCTGTCCTTCTCAGCATAGTAGACACACTTCCCCTTGTTGCCGCCGTTCCACGTGTCCCACCCCTCCTTGTTGATCTCCTGTTAGTGGCGAACAGGGGTGAGGATGGGTGCGAAAAGGTGAGGGGTGAAGAAGGGTGGGACGTGGTGAGGAGAGGTGTGGGGAAGACAGGCACATGAGCTTTTTGGCTTGTACGCTTCCGGTCCCTTGCTGTCCTTCTCAGCGTAGTACACGCACTTGCCCTTGTTGTCGCCGTTCCACGTGTCCCACCCCTCCTTGTTGATTTCCTGTTAGTGGCGAACAGGGATGAGGATGGACGCGAGAAGGTGAGGAGGGGTGAAGAAGGGTGGGACGTGGTGAGGAGAGGTGTGGGGAAGACAGGCATATGAGCTCTTCGGCTTGTATGCTCCCGGCCCCTCGCTGTCCTTCTCAGCGTAGTAGACGCACTTTCCCTTGTTGTCGCCGTTCCACGTGTCCCACCCCTCCTTGTTGATTTCCTGTTGTTGGGAAGAGAGGCAGAGGGATGAGGAGTGGTGAGGATGGGTGAGGATGGGTGGAGAGGTGTGACAGAAGGCAACCAAGTGAATCAGCTCGGCAGTGCTGAGAAGATATGCCATGGAAAGGAGCAAAGAGATATAGGGTATGCTAGCAACAAAGGAAGATATGAAGCAAAGAGACACAGAGGAATTCTCCCCACCTAAAATCAAGCAACTTATAGTTGCATAATAGCATGTCACGTTTCAAGTGATAAAGCCCGAGCTGGCTCACCTTGGGAAGGTTGCTCTCGATATAAATTGTACGCGCGCATTTCTTCCAAGGCCGACCCAAGTAACCATTTGTAACACCCTTCTCCGAATTAACAGTCGCGTAACGAATCACAATCCCCGTAGGCGTGTTGCTCTCTCTTCCTGACGCGGTGATAGGAACATTTTTTTTCCCAGCGCGCATCTGAATCGTACAGTTGTCAATATTCGCAGCAGCGTTTCCAAAAATAAAATCCGTGCAACCCGAGATGAAGGTGTTTCTGTAGTACTGGCGGCCCGAGTGGGTGTAGAGAGTGTCCTGGAAACCTGTAACGGAGCAGTCATAAACGACTGCCTTATCCGCGTCGATCATCAGCGCCACGGCTTGGTTGCCCTGAATTCCTGCAGTGTTTTCGAACTTTATCCCCGTTGCCTGGAAAGAGTTCTTCTTTACACCTGAAGTTGAGGGTCAGCGGCAGGGAGCAAGAGAGGAATTGGATGTAAGGGGGTGGCAAATGGATATGGATTGGTGAAGCGAACAACAACGTCTCCGCGAACTCGGGGTAGGAACAGGATCAAATGGAGCACAAAAGAGCAAGCAACACTAAGAGGTACGTGCAATGCAGCCGAATGACAATAAAAGGGAAAGGTGAAGGTAAGGTAACAGAGTTGTGATTATTGACGGCACAGGTAGCACTCACTGACTGTGGCAGTGTTGTATGTCGTATATCCGCCAGCCACACTTTTCTTCCCCGTTATAATTGTCTTCGACGCTCCGTCTCCCACCAGAACCACGCCCTCCCGGTTCACCAAAACATTCTCCTTATACGTCCCGGCCTTGATGTACACAACAAACAGCCCCGTTTTCGGAGCTGCTTTTAACGCGTCCGAGACCTTCTTGTACTTCTCGTTTTTCCCCACCACGGCGTTTGGCTTTAACTTCTTGACCTTCGCCAACTGAAGCTTCCGTCCGCGCTCCGCCCACATCCCCGCCTCCACGTGATCCCCCTGCATCCGCGCCTGAAGCTCCCTGATCCGCTCGTACATCCCCGGCTCCACCCACAACGGCGGCTCCCCCCGACCGCCGTCTTCCACAGAGTCTAGGGCCTGTCGGCGCGGGGGAGCCTTCCCCGCGGATCCGGCGGATTGGAGCGCGAGGGCGATGGCGGTGTCGTACGATTTCTTAAGATTATTGCCGTAATTTGTCAGCGATTTTCCCGCGTGCGACTTGTACGTGTCGGGGGAGAACTCCCAGATACCTTCGAGGCACGTGACGAGCTGATCGCGCGCCGCCGTGATCCAAAACGGCACGTCCTCGCCGTTCGTGCGCGCTTTGAGCGCCTCGGAGGCCTTGGCGAGGTGATACAATGCATTGGAGGTCTGCGAAAGCAACGCAATGAAGGAGTGGGAAGGGGAAGAAAAGGAGGGAAGACAGATCTCCCGGTGGGCCGGGTGAGAGAGAGGGAGATTTGGTTGTGGGATGCCTTTAAACCTCGTCACGGTCTCAGGAAACAAGTTACGGGGACGGGTAGGGATGGGGGAGAAACAGATTTCGCTGCTCGGCAAAGGATTGTTGAAGAATGATGCGAAAGGTTGTTGAAGAATGATGCGGAGAGGTGATAAAGTACCAGATCGAGACAGTCGGTTGTCACGGCACCCGACATCATCCCCAAAATGTTGCTGACCCAATCCTGACCTTGGGTCGAATCTGGCCTTAAACTAACACGAAAGTGACCCCAAAGTAACTTTGGGGTCAAATTTTCAAATCAGGTCAGGTTCAGGTCAGTGAGTTTTTCGACCCAAAAGTAACCTGACCCGCACAGCTCTTGGGGATCTGGGGATGCGGGTTCGATACTTGTCGCTGGCAGTTCTCCTCCAATTTTCTATTGAATGTGCGGAAAACAACAAGCAACACGCACTAAAATGTTTCAATGGCTATGACTGGAATCGATCTCGTTACCTTGGAATCCACGGAGGTCATTCTAAACAAATGGGCTATTCAAGCTGTAGGAACTTAGCAAAGGTTAATTAACGTCAATTCCCTGTGCCTAAAATGCGAAATGCGATGAACCGAACCCGTAGCCTCCCAATTTATAACTCGAACACTAACCACTGCGCTATCTACACTCTCTCGATGGAATGCACTAAAACGCTTTAATAATAGTCAAAACAGATCCATAGCAAAACCAGTGCCTTGAAGAGGTTCGATCCCCTTACCTTCAGATCAACACTCGACCAGTACCACTATCCCAAATTCTCACAGCATTAGGTCGTTTTTAATTTACTTAAAGATGTGTTCAAAGGCGAAATCAAATCTGGCTTGGGTTTCAAATTTCATTGTCCTTCTGGTGGTGTCCACCAACTTCACTTCCCTACATTTCGCATTTAGATCTACGTGCTCCAATCTTGAATCTTAGAGACTTCACTAGCCCTTCCCTCTACCCTTAGCTACCTTGAGCGCTTTCTTAAAATTACCCCTACCCCGCCCTCTCTCCATTTCTATCTGTCCTAATTGCAGGCTTCGATTACTGTCAGCAACAGCTACTTTCTAGGGCGCGACGGGAGCTGCTACGTCGGGAGCAGCTAAGGGACGCGACGGGCGCTGCGTCGAGCATCTAAGGGACACGACGGGCGCGACTACGTCGTGGCAGCTTAGGAACGCGCCGGGCGCTGCGGCGGGCGCTGCGACAAGAGCCGCTAAGTACGCGCCTTACTGCTATTTCCCATTGTTAACAATCTGGATTTCTTTTTTTCAAGTGTACGCTTCTAATCGAAATTATTATTGCATTCTATTACATGTACATTTGTGTGGCAGGAAGCAGTGCCATCTCTACTCAAGCTTCACAAGCTTGTTTCACGTTTATATTACGTGCTGAATATGTTTTTTTGTTTTGTTTTTTTTACGAGTCCAATTCATTTCTATTTGTTGCTTCCCGCTATGAACCTTCTGTGGCAGAAAGCGAGTACCATCACAGGGGGCGATTCTTCAGCGACAAAACGCTAGTTAACTATGGTGATTCATCTGTTTTTTCAGCAGTGATGTTATGTCAAAGAAGTATACCAATCTGTTTTTTTCTTTGCTTATGTTCAGAACGGAAATTGGAGATATTGGAGATACGCAGTGAAGTTTTTTTAATTATGACATTCCTAATGTCATTTTGGTTCACAGTAAACGTGATGATTTCAGAACATATATGTCTATAAGCAGGGGGATTACATATCCGAGAATATGTGGACGTGAAGATCTTTCCATAAATATTGTGCCTAATGTCAGTTTGACCGACAGCAAGTGAAGGTGATTATGTCAAGATTCACGTTTTTATTTTATACATGGTGTGTCTAGCTTGAATATGGCGTTTCACCCTCTAATGAATGTTGGTTTTGTGTTCTCAGGTTGTTTTAGCACTGCAGTGGTTTTTTTATTATGGGGCCACTGTACATGGCCCTGTATTTTACATTGTTACGCTGATGTAATTTGACGTTTGAGTGTATTGTGAAATATATATTATACGATTTTAACAAAAACTTCTTATTACCAAATAAAAATGCGTACAATGCTTGCATAAAATGTATAAAGACCGAACTACACCTAAACTCTTTTAACGGGAAACGGAACACGCTATGGCGGGGTTCATGCGGTTCGTGTGCCAGGCACATGTGACCTAAGAATGGCCTCGGAGTGACTTTCGGGTCAGTTTATCTGACCCGAACCTGACATTTCCCGCCAAAATTTGACCCGTACGTGTCCCGCAACTGACCTGTTTCTGGCCCGAAAGTCACTTCTGGGCGAGCCTCTCTGACCCGAATATAACCTAAACGATCAGTTCCAAAAGTAACTCTAGGGACAGATTCCCAGATGTCCCGAATATTGCCCGGAAGTAACCTGAGGGTCGCTTTTGGGTCAGAACAATTTAGAGATGATATTCGCCGTACTGCGGCTCTTTTTTATCGCGGATACTCTCGCCATCACCTGTTGCATTCCCGCCGTGATGTTCGCGACGAGCCCTGGCGCAAGGTCGCTCGTCGGAGTGGTAAGCGCGCCGAGCTTCCGCCGCACGTCGCGGAGCTGCTCCACGCAGTAGCTCGGGTCGGCCGTCTCGTCGCAAAACGCGGGGTGGTGCAGGATGTAATCATAGCTGTCGACGGCGTGACACTATCAGAATACTAGCGTGAGAATGGTGCATTGAATGAAACAGTTGGGTACAAGTAGCTAACCCTAGTTGGGGTTGTACCCCATACTGGCTACCCCACTACAGCCTACCAACATATAACAGTTTAACACACCCCCATAGGCAAAGTGGGGGAGAACAAAGGGTCACAAGACCAGTCCAGCAAAGCAACGCAAGCCCAGGGTGGATCACAACGTCACCACACTCCGAGCACAAGCAAAGGCCACAAGGCCAGTTCACATGCAGTGCTAGATATAGTACAAGACAAGCAACACAGTGATCAAAACCTAGCAAGCAAGCAAAAAGATATATATAAAGTACAGTACAAAGAAAGTCAAGCAGTAAGCAAATGAGGGAATGTGGACACAAGGCCTAAAGAAGTACAGTGCCGCTGATGATCACTAGGCGGGAGCGCCTTGGTGAAGATATCAGCAGTGTTGGCCTTCGAGTCCACGTACACAAGCCGAAGCTGACCTCGCTGCTGCAGCTCTCGAGCAAGAAAGTAGCGAAGAGCAATGTGCTTCGTCCTGTGCTCCAGTCTGTGCTCCTGACACAAGGCAAGGGCCGCCTTGTTGTCGCCGTACAGAACTGGAGGAGAACTAGGCCGCTCTCCCAAGTCAGTCAGCAGGTAGGTGAGCCAGCGTAACTCCTGTGCAGCCATGGCCGTGGCGTAGATCTCAGCCTCACAACTAGAGCTGAGAACAGAAGAAGAGCGGGTGGACCGCCACGAGACAGAGCCAGAGCCAAGGCTGAAGGTGTAACCCTGCGACGACCGCTGCGTAGCCAAGTCGTCCACCCAAGAAGCGTCCGAGTGACCAGTGAGAACAACTCTGTCGCGTCCTCCAAGCACCAACCCCATGCCTGATGTACTGCACAAGTAACGCAGCACCCTCTTAGCAGCCTCCCAGTGCTCTCGCCTGTGTCTCCCAGGCGCAACGTAACGAGCAAGGATGCTAAGAGGGTACGCGAGGTCAGGTCGCGTGCAAGTCATCAGGTACATGAGGCAGCCTACAAGCTCTGGGTACGGGCCACTCGGCTCTACGGACTCGTCCGAAGGTGGAGCTGAGAGCGAGTGGCTGGTAGCCAGAGGTGTGGCCTGTGGTGAGGAGAACTGGAAGCCGAAGCGCTGAAGGACCTGCTGCACCATGTGTGACTGAGTCAGGGTAATGGTGCGGCGTGCTCTGTCCCGGGTGATCTGCAAGCCAAGGTAGCTACGCAGCTCACCCAGGTCAGTGCAGGTGTGTCTCTTCTGCAGCTCCGACTTCACACGAGCGAGTGCCTCAGTGTCAGCAGTAGCAAAGACCAAGTCGTCGACGTACACGAGAATGTAGAACGGCGGCAGCGACGTGTCTGTGCGCAGAAACAGCGACGGGTCAGCAGTAGACGGCGCGAACCCAAGGGCCGCAAGTGTAGTCCTCAGTGTGTCGTGCCACTCACGTGGCGCCTGGCGGAGACCGTAGACTGGCCGGCGGAGGCTCCACTGGGTACCAGGAGGAAACGACCCAGTAAAGCCAGGTGGGCGGCGCAGCCAGATCTCCTCGTGCAGGCTGCCCTGCAGGAAAGCTGTGCTGAAGTCAAGAGAGTGAAGCTCGTAGTCACGCTGAGCAGCAACGTGCAGCAGAACCCGAAGAGTGGTCATCTTCGGGGTGGGGGAGAAGGTCTGGAAGAAGTCAACCCCCTGGCGCTGACTGAAGCCTCTAGCAACGTAACGAGCCTTGAAGACAGGCGGAGAACCCGGCGGCCGCTTCACCCTGAAAATCCACATGCCATCGACGATGTTCGCCCCAGGAGGGGGAACCTCGTCGACGTAGGTGCCTGTGGACTTCCAGGATGCCATCTCTGCGTCCATGGCTGTCTGCCACTGAGAGGAGTAGGGACCCGAGATCGCCTCTGCGTAAGAGCGCGGAGTGGGGATGTCTAGTGCATCCGGGTCTCCCTCAGGGGCAAGCAACCAGGCCACGAGATGAGGTACAGCAACCGCAAGACAGTCAAAGTCCTCCTGCCTGTCCTCAAGGACGTCCGTGCCAAGAGCACACTCACCCCCGACGGACGGAGGACAGACAGACTCAGACTCAGCAACAAGACTGGCGGCGTAGTCTAGGCGACATGCAGCAGCAAAGTCGACAAGCTCAGCGACCAGGGCAGACGCAGCAGAAGACTCAAACGACGGGTCAGTGACAACAGTGGCGAGAAGACGCGTAACAGTAGGGTGGGCAGCACGAACACTGTCAGACTCAGGGTCGGGAACGTCAGGAAGAGAAGACGCAGGAGGAGACGGTAGGGGGACACGCTGTGGACCAGTGGAAGGACGAAGGGCCATAATATGCGTGCCAGGAACAGGAGGAGGACGCGGACGCGCGACACGACGACCAGTGGGACCAGTGCGCGCAGTGCGAGCAGTGCGAGTAGCACGAACAGGCGAGGCAGGACGAGACACAGGCTCACGACGCTCCGTAAGCGAGTCCGGCAGTGCAGTGTAAGGTACAGGAGCAGGGAGGGGGGAGCCAGGCTGGAGGGGAAGGCCAGTGGAAGACGGGAGGGAAAGAACCTGGCGAAGCACCGTGTCAGGCGGTGGCAAAGCCGACGGTGACGGAGGAGCGAAGAACAGGCGCGACGGCGGAGCTCCGCCAGCACCTCCAGCACCCGCAGCACCAGAAGCACCAGGACCAGCACCCTCCGCCGCAGCACCCCCAGAGTCGGCGACGTCAGCACCAGAGGCCCCAGCAGCGTCAGACCTCCCCTCGCCAGCACCTCCAGAACCAGCAGGACCACCGTGTCCAGAACCGTCAGCTCCAGTGTCGTCAGCTCCAGCAGCTCCAGCACCCTCAGTCCCAGCACCCGCAGCCGCAGCACCCCCAGGCCCAGCACCCGCAGGCTCAGCACCCCCAGGCTCAGCACTCCCAGCAGCACCACCTGCAGCAGCACCTGAGTCACCTGTGACCTCGACAGGCTCAGCGACGGGAGGAGGGTCTACCTGAGAGACACCTGAAGGAGCAGGACCCTGAGGGGGACCAGGAGCGAGGAAAAGCGGCGGGGGAGGGAGGGGGGCAGTGCGGTAGGGGAAGAGATGGTAAAAAGGGACCGACTCGTCAAAGGTGACGTCCTGAGAGGCGAAGACCCGGCGCGAGGTGGGGTGGTAAAACTGCCAGCCAGGCGCGTCAGGGACAAAGCCAAGGAAGACACAGGGAAGCGTGCGGGAGGAGAGCTTGTCCGCGGACGTATCGCGGACAAGGGCACGAGCACCCCACACCCGGAAGCGCGACGCATCGCCAACCTCCCCCGTCCAACGCAGTGTGGGCGAGGTCTCCGGCAAGGAGACACGGGGCCAGAGGTTGAGCTGATGCGCGGCGTACCGGACAGCAAACGGCCACAGAAAATGGGGAGCCGCCGCATGGACCAAGGAGGTACGAGCGACCTCCATGACCAGGCCAATGCGGCGCTCAGCAACCCCATTCTGCTGTGGGGAGTCCGGAAGCGTGAAGGTCTGCTCGATGCCCTCCGCCTGACAGAAGGTCCTCAAGAGGTCGGAGGAGAACTCACCACCTCTGTCAGAGTGCA